ATAGATTAATACCTTTTTTTTTTTTTTTTAAAGAGTCATTTGAAAAGCAAAGCTCATAAAGAGATGTAACATTCACATTTCGCAATGTATAAGCAAAAATAATTAATAATTTAAGGTGACAAAGTAAAATACTAATATGGTCAGGTGTATTATACAGAAACATTATTGCATTGGAAACAAATTATTTAGTAGGAGTATGGGTAGGTGGGGATTTTAATGATGTATTACATCTGATTTTGGATCATCCCTCTACTAGCATTCCTAACTGACCTTATTAGAATGCTGATATATTTAAAAGTCTAACCAATGGTCAATCGCTACAGCATGCCTGGAAATTAGTTAATCTACAATATATTATAGATTATGCATGTTACTTGCATCTCCACAATAGCTACTCTCTTCACCAATTATTCTTTTCATATAGCAGCACCATGTATGTTGTGAGGAATCCTGTAAGATTCTTACAGAACCTTGGTTTGACCACTCAACAGTTAAAATGAGCTGTTTGGGATTACACGCACTGATTCTCATGTTGTGGTGGTCGCTGTGAGACTCTTTGTTGTGTGACCCTGAGATGTACAATGAGTGAAATCAAATTATATTTTGATACTAATTCCAAAGATGATATGTCATGGCTGACAGTGTGGACAGAGTTTAGGCTTATAATTGAAATGTCCAGATTGCTGTATCTTCTAATATCTTCTAATCGCCTGAAAGTGAATCTAAAGAAATAAAAATATTAATTGCTATTCTCTGCTCCAATGCGACAGAACATTTTAAAGTTCTCAGAGATATTATGTCTACAACATGCTGAAAACTCTAACCTCAGAAAAAAGACATTTACAGTGGACTGGGTGGCAATGTTTTGAGAAAGGTAAGAGGCATTTTACAATATTAGCTAACCTGCTTAGTAGCACAAAGGGACTTCAACAATAATAAAAATTTGGCTTCATCAGAGCCAAATGTGTAAGCAAATAAATTTGCTAAATTGTATGCTCACCTAGTTGATGGCTACTTTACCCTCTGCTGGACTCCCTGTGGTGAGGCTGCTGTTGAGGATTTCCTTAGAGCCCTCAATTTAAAGACGGTGGATAGTTGAAAAATATTGGTTGACCCAATCTCATTGGAAGAGGTATCAGTTGTTCTGAAATCACTGAGGAATGGAAATGTACCAAGATGACTTGGCCCCTAGACTAACTACACTTTTTTTTTTACAATCGTTTCAATGTTGACTGCTAAGATCATTATTATTCCAAAAGAGGGTGAAAGTAACACTCATTCTGCAAACTACAGGCCCATCTCAGCTATAAATGGGGACATAAAAATATATGCAAAATGTCTTGCTAATAGACTGACCATTGTCCTCTAAGGAATTATCTCTCCTGACCAAGATGGATTCTTTGCTAATTGTGAAGCCTTTTATGGTGTGAGAAGAACCAAATCATATTGCTGGTCACCTAAATGTCCCATGGTACTTGTGGCGAACGTAACCTCGTTACTGGTACTTGGAGGGGCCTGCTTTCCAGGATTATGGGCCCTTCAAAAAGACATGTTAAAAAGTGACTTCCATGGAAAAATCTAACCATTGAACCAATCTGGGTGATTTTTGGATATGTTGGTCACCCAGATCAGGGCTATCCGAGGATGTGACTCTTGTGGGGTTTCCATGGATCTTGGGGCTACCATACGCTTTCAAAGGCAACATAACCAATCGGGCAAATTTCCATGTGAAAAAAAAGGAAATTCAAGCCTTAAATTTGACTCACTAAGTTTTGAAAACACCATAAAACCTGTACATGGGGGGGGGGTACTGTTTTACTTGGGAGACTTTACTGAACACAAATATTAGTGTTTCAAAACAGTAAAACGTATGACAACAATGATATCATCAGTGAAAATGCAGTTTGTGTGTGAAAAATGCAAAAAATATAATTTTCAATGACAATATAATCTCTGTGATATGTTTTACTGTTTTGAAACACTAATATTTGTGTTCAGCAAAGTCTCCTGAGTAAAACAGTACTCCCCATGTACAAGTTTTAGGGTGTCATGGAAAGTTACAGAGTTAAATACAGTGCTAGCAAATTATATTCTCTGGACTTTTGGCCTGGGTTTTCAGGCAGGTCCCTCAAATTGCAATCAATAAAATTACTGAATTATGTAAAAATATAACATTACTATGCACGTATAATTTAAATATATCAATTAGAAAAAGAATGGGGCGGAAGAACCAAACACAACTAGTGAATGGAAATGCCGATCCATAGAAAAATACCTCCTAATATCAAGTGTCACATAAAAATGAATGAAAAT